CCACCCGAGGGGCGGTGGGGTGGGGTGAGCCTGGGGGGGGGCGCCACCCAGGAGCAGTGGGGTGCGCAGAAGGACTGTGTGGAGGAGGATAGTCCCAAAGGGGCAGTTCCCCCATGACGCCTGGTGACCCCCAGTGGCTCAGCAGAGAAGGGTGGGGGCGCATCAGTTCCTGCTCCCTGGGGTTTTGGGGCAGCGGGAGGGTCCCCTTCCCATCTCGCCCTCACCTTCTTAGTGGCGAGCTCCTGGTAAGGTTGGTGCTTGTGTCCTGACCTCTCTTTCTGCGGGTGGATCCTGCTGGGAAGCGGGGCCTGAAAAGGGCAACTGCTGGAGGGGACGATACCTGCCCGTCTGCCTGGGCTTGTTAGCTGGGCCAAGGCTCCTACGGGCGTTGCCCATTTGGGCTGGGCCTGGCACAGAGACCTTGTCGCTCTCTAATTGAAATGCCTACTAGGGGAAATGTGATTTCCTCCCCCTGCCCCACGCTGCGGGGATGGGGGAGCATTGAAGGGGCGATGGGAAACGCTGTCACGTACATCAAGGCAGTTCTCTGAGCATTGTGGGGCTCACAGAATTAAGCTGCCTTCTGGTGCTTTTTTGTAGACTGGTACGGCATGAATCTTTGGATGGGCTCTCTCTGGGGGGTGCCAAGCTATGCTGTGCTCTTGGCCGGGGGCTTTACTCTGAATTTCCCTCTTGGCAAGTGACTTGGGGCAGGGTGGTGTGGGCAGGAGCCCAGGAAAGCGAGACCGAGTAGCTAGGGTCCTGTCTGTTCAAGCACTTGTACCTTGGCATGGTGACTACAGCCTCTAGCTTGCCTGCTGTTTGCAAAGCGTCCCAGCTGGGTGCGTGTCCCCCTCTGGTGACCCAGCAGGCTGCTGCCTTCTGCGCTAGCTGCAGCCCCTCTCCTAGCTGGGCTGGCCGCCTGGGCTGGAGGGGCTGGCCGTGAGAGAGGCAAAGCCCAGCAAGCAATGGGCTGTGGGGGCAGTGGCTAAGGCAAGGATGAATTCATTCAGGCCATACGCAGCCCTGTTGGACCCCTGAGTCTCTCCGGCCAGTGACTGGTTCAGGGAAGTTCCTGCGCTTGTCTCCGCCGTGCCTGTACTTTCAGGGCCCAGGGTTCTGGGAGCACACTCCTCGGAGTGACAAGTGTGAACAGGAATGTCGCTGTTACACTCCCTCGAAATGTAACTTTACCTCCATGTTGCATTGGGATCGCAAGGAGCCTGGCCATGAGCAAGGGCCTGAGAACCAGGAGGGGATGCTGACCCGGCGGGATTTATTTGTTTTTTATGGGCCTGATCTTCATTATTCTACTGAGGTAGCTCCCAGAGGCCCCTTGGTGCTGAGTGCTGTGCTGACTTGCAGTGTGAGATGGGCCTTTGATTTACACTGTTCAACCCTTCAGGCCGGGGACTAAGGATGGGAGACGGTCAGGATTATGATTCCCCTCTACTCACCTGGTCCTCATCGCTATGGATCTGAGCATCTTTCCCGGTCCCAAAGTGAGGGAAAGGGAAACGAACCGTGGCAGTGGTGAAGAGAGAACTTTTATTAAAAACTCCCCAGTCTTTGCCTTTCGATAACTGGAGGGGGTGGGTGTGACACTGAGGAGTAACTTCCTAAAACATGGCTCTTTCCTGGCCTGTGCCTTTGCTGTAGAGCGGTGGTTTTCAAACGACTTGTATTGGTGACCCCTTTCACACAGCAGACCTCTGAATATCACCCCTCTTATAAGTTAAAAACAGGGGTGGGGGGAATTTAATTTAAAGGGGGCTCAGGGCTGTCAGCCCCATAGAACGGTTAGCTCGTGACCCCCATGTAATTACCTTGGGACCCCCTGAGGGGGTCACACCCCCAGTTTGAGAACCCCTGCCATAGTGGAAACAACTGGCTAGAGCCAGGCATTGCTGTTTGGTGCATGATGATGCTTTAGCCAGGAGGCTGGAAGGGCCCAGACGGGGAGAAGGATGCTCTCCGGCAAGCCTAGAGCTCCGAGCTGGTGGGCGGATGGTTCTGAGCTGTATCCTTTATCAGGTGGATTGCGTTAGGGCCTCGGAGTTCAGTTTGTGGCTGGGACCCCAGGGTGCTAGGCACGGTACTGTAGCTTTTGCCTGGGTGTTTGAGCTGCAGATTCTGCTTGCAATCCCTCTATGGCTGCTGAATGTGGCCCCCACAGTTGTTTGCCTCCATGTCTCCAATTCCGAGTGTAGGTCATGGGTCGTCTTTTGTTGTCTTGGGCTGGTGTCCAAGACCAGCATTGGTTTCGCTTCTGTAATTAGCTGTCAGCCAGGCTGACACCTACTCCAGAGGAGAATGCCAAGGCACCTGATCTCCAGCAGCTGTCACCAGACCAGTCTCTTCCTGTCCATCCCAAACCTGTTCTCTTACATGTTCATCTCCTGCTCCGCCCAGGTTGATGGGCACTCTGCTCTCATCTAGCCTCTGTGGAGCTGGGTTCGCATGGGGTCTGAGGCCAGCCAGGGCGTTCCTGTTCCGTCTGTGAGCTGCCTGCCCCAGCACAGGGGGGTGCCTGGCCCTTCTCCTGCCCTGGCTGGGAGCTGATCTGTTAGCGGCAGGTGCCTTTTCCTCAGCGTGCTGCTTGTGGCGCTTTGCTTGTAATAAACAGCTCTCAGTGAATGGCGTTTGCCTGCAGACCGAGCTCTTGCTGTGAACAAGCGTCCCTTGGTGCTGGGAGTGCTCTCCGCCGTACCCAGAGCAGCGGTGGGCTCTGCGGTGGAGACACAAGGTTCCTGTTGTTTCTCTTTGAGGCCTTGGCTTGTCCTCCACCCTCTGAGTGTGAGGCCAGGCTGGGAAGCTGAGTTGACATAATCTGTCTGCCCTTGGACTCTTGGCGGCATCACTCGCTCGCCTCTTCCCAGGGATTTTTTTGCAATACTTGGCTCTAAAGCAGCCCAGTGTATGGGTGGCTTTGGTATCGGGTCCAGCTATCCCCAAACGGGCTGGATGGGGATTTCAGACTCTGCAAGATACTCCTCAAGCTTGCTTGATTGATTTGATTGATTGATTTTTATTTTAAGATACCCTTGGAAAAGAGGAATGAAGCCTCTCTCCGAATGGCTAGCCTTCTGGAACTGTCCCCTTGACTGAAGACCAAGAGCCTGCCTGAGGGTGCAGCCCAGCCCGGAGGTACCAGCCACCCCTGTTCCTCCAGCACCAGGGTAATCTCTGCTGCCAGGTGTTTGGCAGCCAGGCCTTCCTAAGACCCTGGTGAGAGGCTCGCCTGCCACCCGCCCTGCTGTGGGATCTGGATCTGGGAAATATTTCCCTCTGCCAGTTAGGCTCTTTGCTGCCTGTGAGCTTGATGGCGTCCCATGCTGTGCCACGTTCGGCTCCGTCTCCCAGCGGAGCCCAGCTCCTAGGTCTTGCTATAAATGGAAACAAGTTAGGGAAACGTGTGGTGGCAGCGATCCGGGGATCGGCTTCAGATTAACTCTGTCATGCCGGGCTTCTGGCTTTGAGAGCCGGGGGAGAAGCCCCGCAAAGCTCATGGCAAAGACCAGAGGCAGCTGCAAGCTACAACATAGCGGGTCAGTGTGCACCCAGAGTTCAGGCACCGGCTTGGCTGGGGAGCAACGGGTAGACGTGCCCACGGTGCTGCAGTGAGGGAGTAGCAATTTCAGGTGCTTTGGTTCTGTCCGACTTGTAAACCCTGTGGTGGTAGCTCAGGGTCCCGGACCCTGGCTGCGGCTGAGTGATGATCGCTGTTTATCAGCATGTGAGTGCCAGCTTCCCCAGGGGCTGCTGGGCTGTGGGGAGGCGGGAGCTGGGTTCTAAGGCCCCATTTCAAGGTAGCTCTTGAATCTCAAACTACAGCTCCTCTTAATCTCCCCCCGGGGAAAAAACCCCAAACAAAACATCCTCTTCTGTCTTTACTTCCTAGTTAGTTTGATCCTCGCCTCAACTCTCTGCCATGGCTTCTGGAGGGGAGGGTCCGGCTGATGGCTCCCCTGACTGGGCTGACACCAGCATCGATCTCAGCTCGCCAGGCCTCGCCAAGGCCAGCACCTCCATGCTGGACAGTGGGGAGGACTTCGAAGTCCTCGATGAGGATGACGACGACGACTTGAGTGAACTCCCCCCTTTGGAGGACATAGGGACGGGAAGGACCCCACCAGCCAGAGATGACACCCAGGTGCCTGGGTCAGAGCAAGCCCCAGAGGAGGCCTCCAACATGCCCCAGGCAGCTGAGGAGTGGCTTGATGTCTTGGGTAAGATCCTGTGTAGGATGATGCCTTGCTGTTTCCTGTTGTCGTAAGCCCTTCCCCTTCTCCCTGCCTCCCAGTGAGGGCAAGCAGGCTGAAGTCAGGGCTCCCATGTGCCCCTGGCAGGAGATGCTGTAGTGGTGTGGGAAAGGGGGCCCGAAGGTGTGGCAGATGCCTCGCTGTGGAGCCTTTGGCCTCTGGGCCACCTGTCTGTACCCAGGTCAGCTGTCAGCAGTCACAGCCTCCTGTGAATCAGGTGTGCGTTCATTCAGGAGAGGTCTCGGCCCAGCCCCCGGCAGCATGTAGGTTGTTGGCTTGGATCACTGCAGCATTCAGAGCGCGCGCGTGCTTCCCAAGAAGATCTGGGGACTGTGGTGGCTAATCCGCTGAACGAGAGCGCCCACTGAGATGCTGTGGCCAAAAGGGCTAATGCCATTCTGGGAAGCACAAACGGGGGGATGGCGAGTGGGCGCAGCGGTGTTATGGCACTGGTGCGACCGCGGCTGGAATCCTGTGTCCAGCGGTGGTGCCCACAGTTCAAGAAGGATGTTCATACACTGGCGGGCTTTGAGAGAAAAGCCATGAGGCTGATGAAAGGATTTGATGATGTGCCCCTCCGGGAGGGACTTGGGAGCTCGGTTTGTTTGGTGTGACAAAGAGGTTAAGGAAAGACTTGGTCCGTCTGTAAGTCCCTACCTGGGAAACAGAGATCTGGTGATGGGCTCTTCGGCATAGCAGACCAGGGGACGATGTAACGCAACCGAAGGGCTGGAAGTTGAAGCCAGACCAATTCAGACTGGAAATAAGCTGTATATTTTCAACAGTGAGAGTCGTTAACTCATTTATCAAGGGGCGAGGTGGGTTCTCGATCGCTGGTGATTTTAAAATCAAGCTTGGATGATTTTCCCAAAGATTCATAGATCCTAAAGCCAGAAGGGACCATTGTGAACATCTGGGCTGACCCCCTGCAGAGCGCAGGCCAGAGACCTGCCCACAATAATCCCTAGGGCAGATTGGTTAGAGAAACATCTAGTCTTGCTTTAAAAACGGCCAGTGATGGAGACTTCCCCGTGACCCTCGGTAAATCGTCCCGATGGTTAAATACAAAGAGCTGCTCTAGAATGAACAGGGGGCAGGTCTCTGGGAGGTCAGCCTAGCTGGTCACAACGGTCCTTTCTGGCCTTGGAACCTACAAAATGCTGAGCGAGATGCCGCCCCCGAGAGGTAAGTGGTAGCTCCTCGGGGGATCCCCGGCTAATGTCTCAGCAGAGAGGCCATGGAGCGTGAACCCTCACTGTCCTCTCTAGCCCCGTCCCTCCCTGGCAGGATAGCAACAGGTTGGTGGTATTTGCTGGGGGTGAGTTTGCTTTGTCCCGCTCTCCCTCCTCGGTGTCTGGATCCAGGAGCCTTCGTTCCCCGAGGCCATGAATCCAGTGGCTCTTCAGGGCCACCATGTTCTTGTCAACACGAGCCACCAGAGCAGTGGCTGCGTGGCCAGCTCTGAGCCCGGCATCAGCCCCCTAGTGGGAATGTGCCAACTTGGCTGCCTCCCTTCCTACTTTAAACCCAAGTGGACATGGGCGGCATGAGCCAAGACCGCCTTTCTCTCTCCCGCTGGCTGTGACGTGCTTCTGGCTCCCATCTGTCTGCCCAGGGAGTGGCTTACTCAAGAAGAAGACCCTGGTGCCAGGTCAAGGCATGGCGAGCCGGCCGCGCAAAGGCCAGGATGTCACCGTCCGACTCAAGGCGATGCTGGAGGATGGCAGCGTCGTGGAGGACAGTCCCAGCCTCTCCTTCACCCTGGGAGACTGCGACGTCATGCAGGTAGGTGCGCGGCGGCTGAGGCCTGTGTGCTCTGGAGCTGGAGGTGTTTGGGGTGGGGGCGCAGAAGAGTCTCTGCACAGCACTGACCTGCCTGGTGGAGCCCAGCCTGTGTGCAAAGCCTGGTTCATTGACCTGGGAATGTTCAGGTGGGAGGGCCCGGTGTGGGTCAGACTGCTGCTTCCTCTGGTCCCGGTATCCTGCCTGCCCCGAGTGACTGCAGACACCTGGTGCTTCAGGGAGAGCTCTCCTTCCTCCGTAATGCACCTGGCTAACTGAGGAATGCTGTATATGGGGCAATGCGGGGGAGGAGGGGCCCAGGCAATTTCTTCTTTATCCCCAAAGGCGATATCGATGCCCTGAGGCAGAGGCTGTCTATCTTACGCCCAGCTGCCGTGTATCTCTGTGGATTTGGCAGCTGGCTTTATTCTCTAAGAACTTGGGGCGAGAGAGGAGGTGGGGGAGGGAGCGTGTCCCCCGGCAATCCACAGGAGCCATGTGAGTGCTTCCTTCGCCCGCCTGGGCAGCGGGGCTCCCTGCCTTGCTCGGCACCTGGTCGCGTTGGCCGATTCACCCGGTGCTCTGCGCAGAGACCCAATTCTGGGACCTACAGGCTGATGCCCTCTTGCCCTGCCCCGCTCTGTCCCTGCATTGTGCCGTGCTCACTCTGGTTTGCCTGGCAGCCGGCCGGCATGCTGGTTTAATGGCCTGTCCAGCAGTACGGCCCCTTTGCCCACACTACAGCAGCCCTCTGGGGAGGAGCCCAAGTCTGGCTGTGGGATTTGAATCCATGACCCCCCTGCTCCCGAGCAGAGAGGGCCCTCTGCTGACCTCCCTCTGAACTCTGGGTCCCTGCAGGCCCTAGACCTGTGTGTACAGCTGATGGAAATGGGAGAAACTGCCTCAATCCTGTCGGATGCCAAGTACTGCTACGGCCCGCAGGGCAGGTGAGTGGGGTCCTGGGACCGGGGCGGGAGGCTAACCACAGCGGGACCAAAGAGAGTGGGGGGATCCTTGGAGAGGAGGCCTGGCCTGCAGCAGCGAGGCCAAAGGCTGGAGTCTCTGCCGTGGGGAGAGTGAGAGGAGGTGTTGGTCTCATTACAGTTCCTCATCGACGTGTCCCCAGCACAGTTCACCCCCCAGCCACAGTCCTAGTAGATAAGCCCAGGCGTCAGTGGGCCCCGTTGCCCATCGGGGAGGGGTGGGATTTCTGCAGGGCAGAATGAGCCATAGCGAGCAACAGGGTCTGTTCTGCTGCCCTCCCTGGTCAGGCTGCCTCCATGCATGTCAGTCTTCGGGCCGCCCCTTTCCCCAGCACTGAATCTGCATGGCTCCTCGGCAGCCCGTGGGTGTTCGGGGGCAGCAGCTGGCGCTGGGCAGCTCTGATGCAGAGCGATAGCGTTGCTTGCCCCAGAGCCACCGCAGCCTGGGCTGGGCCCGTTCCTCCTCCTGCGAGAGGTGCCATCGCGTCTCCTCCATCATGTGAGCAGGAGCCCCGACATCCCGCCCCACGCAGCCCTCACCCTGGAAGTGCAGCTGCTGGCCGTGCAGGACGCTCCTGACCTGGAGCTCCTCCGTGGGAGAGAGAAAATCCAGCTGGCCAATCGCAAGCGGGAGCGCGGGAACTTCTACTACCAGCAGGCGGACTACGTGCTGGCCATCAACTCCTACGACATCGCCCTGAAGACCATCGACTCCAGCTCCAAAGGTACCTGCCCTGCCCTGGGGTCAGCCAGTCCTGCCCGCACAGCAGGGCTCTGGGAAGTGGAGTTACTGCAATCTGAGGCGTCTCCGCCACCTGACCCTCGGGGCTCAGCCCTCCTCATCCTTGTGTGTGATGCTGGCCCCTCTGGGACACGCTGCTCGTCGAACAGCGTCTCCTCGCCTGAGCCGGGGAGTCCCCCGCCCGGGAGCTGGGCCTCCTGGCAGCCTGTGTCTCTCGGGAGCTGTTGCCCTCTAAGATGCCTCCTTGCCTGGGGACCTTCTGCAGTGCCAGGGGGAGATGTTTTGGAAAGCAGCGTTTGGTGGCTTTACAGCCTACTTCCTCCATTGCACACACCTGCTCCTCACCCAGCGTCCCCCGTGGGCAGCCATAGCAACACGGTTCTGAGAGCCGGGTCTCCACGGGCACCCTCTGTTGGTCTGTCCGTGGCTGTGAGCCCCTGGGGGCAGACGCTGGCTCCTTTCTGCCCTGCCCAGAGCCCAGCAGCAGCCCCCAGGGAGAACCCTCCCGGGCTGTGGGTGGCCCAGGTGAGGTCGAGACACCTCCCTGGAGGCGGGTTCCCTGCACTGCGGAACGAAGGGAGCTCGAGCAGGGTTGCAAAGCAGCTGGGCTGCTGGTGTAACTCCGCTCTGGGATCTCCGCAGTCGACGTCAGCCCGGAGGAGGAGGCCGAGCTGCTGGAGGTGAAGGTGAAATGTCTCAACAACCTGGCAGCCTCTCAGCTCAAGCTGGACCATTATGAGGCTGCCCTGAGATCCTGCACCCAAGTCCTGGAGCACCAGCCGGAGAACATCAAGGCCCTCTTCCGCAAGGGGAAGGTAAGGGTGGGGCTCTGTGCGGCGCGGGGCCCCCTCCCTTTGGCAGTGGGGGCGTCGGATGGAGACCCTGGCCTCTTGCGGCCTGGGTGGGAGCCTGTCCACTGGGGGCTGGCCAGGGCCTCTTTGCTCAGCTTTGTGGCTTGTCTTCCAGGTGCTGGCACAGCAGGGCGAGTACAGCGAGGCCATACCCCTCCTCAAAGCAGCTTTGAAGCTGGAGCCATCGAACAAGGTAAGCTGCTGTGTCCGCTGCCGCCCTGCCGGCTTGGCTAGCGGGTTCCTCTTCCTGCTGGGATGGAAGCGAGCGACCAGCTGAGGCTTCACCCCG